TGTTGTTTTTGGGTGAAACGTTTTTCGCAGACTTCACATTGAAATGGCTTTTCGCCAATGTGCATTGCACTAATGTGGTTAACAAGAGTCTTTTTATCAATAAATGTCATACCACAATCGTGACAATCGAAGGATCGTTTACTGGTGTGTATGAGGACATGGTTGTTTCGAGAAGTCTTTCGAACAAAGGATTTTCCACAGATTTCACATTCAAATTTCTTGTTGTCGGAGTGAACGCGGATGTGATCGTCGAGATGGCGTTTTTTATAAAAAGATTTTTCGCAGAGTTCGCATTGGTATGGTTGTCTGCCGTTATGTTCGAAGCGAATATGATCAATACGAGCATTTTGATTGGTAAAAGACTCACCACAAGTGTGGCATCCAAAGGGTTGTTGGCCAGTATGTTTTTGAATGTGAGTTTTCAGTAAAAATTTAAGAGCAAAAGATTTCCCACAGATTTTACACTGGTATGATTTTTCGCCCGTGTGAACGAGCATGTGGTTCCTGAGGTGTTGCTTTACGTTAAAAATTTTATTACAATATAAACATTCGTGGGTTCGCCTGTCGGTACGCGTGCAAGTGTGCGTGTTCAATTTGCTTGGATCAGAAAAAGTTCTGCCGCATTGTCTACAGTGCAACAGTTTGCCGATATGTTTGAAGTAGTGCTTTTTTAAAGTATCTTTTTGACGGAAAGCTTTGTCACAAAATTCACATTTAAAGAGTTTTTCACCGGTATGCGTGCGGGTATGCCGGTCCAAGTGACTTTTAAAATTGAATGATTTCCCACAATAGCCGCATAAAAAGGGTAATTTGTCAGTCTGCTTTTTAGGCTTCATTTTAGGTGTTGCTTTTAAACTTTTGACGAACTTAGGCTGGTAATCCTACCTGCAGTGATGTTATAAAAATTTTGGTGGATACGAAGAATACGAAGCAGTTGTTGATCTAGAGCCTAAAAATAAAAAATTAAGCTTAATAAAAAGTTAAAATCGTGACTAACAAAACACAACAAAATAAAATTTCATTGAAGATTTCACTATAAGGTACAATTTTGTCATGCAAAATGTAACAAACTGATGATAGAAGTAAACCTATTTATAAACTTTGTGGGAAATGGTTATAACATGAAAATTTTATACTTTATCACAATTAGCTTTCATTTGGCATCGTACAAGCCAGAACCAAAGTCATTGGTAAAGCAGCGAAGACAACATGTGATTTTTCCTTAATTGAAATGGACGGCATAATTAAATCGAATTTGTATTAAAATGATATACAGAAACCTTTTTAATACAGTTGCCTCGAGCTGGTCAATGGAGGAAGGCAAGAGATCAACAGTGTTTACGTCAGATGACAAGGCATCCAAGGAAGATTTTGTTAATGAATTAAAAACACAAGCTTAAATTAAGTAGGCTCTATGTAGCATATTTTAAGAAAGCACTGAAACTTATTTCCCATGAACGATGATATTTTAAATTAACATGGAAAAATATTACTTATATGTTACGTGAAATAACACTAATAAATAGCTGCTTGCAACCAGTCAAAATGTCGAATTCTGCAGCTAGAGGATTACACTGTTCTTGAACTCAGTGTATCTTCATTAAGTTACAGAATTGTATTTGATACATTCAAATTTGTTAAAATGAGTTTTAAACGTCATCGCGTCATACTCAATTGTTAATAGAGCATTATTTTGTAAAAAGGGGATAAGAATATCACACAAAGTGTAAAAAACTAGTGAATACAGATCAATTGCTCAAGACTAAAAAAAATAAGGAAATCTGAGGAAATTTAAGTGTGTACACGAAGCGTATCTCATAATATCTAGAAGGTATAAAAAAAAGCTCCTGCATGCCCTTCACACCGTGTATACTTATAATTACCTCTAGATGAAAGATGTTTCACATTTATATCAAGACAGGAACTTGTAGTTATCGTTATCTACTTGTTGCGTGGACTTCTTTGCTTCATGAGGCGATAAACTGTGATGAACTGAAAAACTTTGAATGAACAATTTTTACTGGACTTTGTAGGTAAACATACTTGTAGTAATTTCCCTAATACAAAAGGGTGCTGTGTACTTACTTCTCGCAATAACAACTTTCTATGCATAGAGAAATGAATGCTTTGTTTTTATTGGGTGTGGACGCAGGTCACAAAGGTCGTGGCGGCCGAGTTTTAAGAAATATTTACACTCACTGTCCTTGAATGCAAGTCTCGATCGTCACTAAAGGGGTTTGCTTCAATTGTCCAACTATAACTATATGTATAGCTACTTTTTTTCGTACATATATTTTATATCGCAGACATCACTTTCCGAGAAAGTCACTATCTCAAACAATGAGAAGAGTTGACACACGGACCTCAAAGGCTCAGATTTTTATTCATGGACCAGGCAGTTCCGGCTATATCCGGGGAAGACGACGCAGCCGCTATAAGGGCGCGGTCACGTTAAGCCGGGGGTACAGATAAGGCAAAAAATTAATACCTGCCGCTAATCTCTAAATAGCTAAGGATTGTCATAGTTCGTGAAGATCCATAGTATTTTTGCGATATATAGTCTTGCTATGACAAGTTATGCATCGGTATTCAGTAGATAAAAATTGCCAAACGCAACATATTTATACCTGCCGCCACTAAATCTAATGAATTGAGAATACAAATTTGTAACAGTCATATTACTAGCGGCAAAATTAAGACTTATCTACTATCTGAAAATCGACTTTTAAGTAAATATACCTCCTATAAAAAAAACAATATATACTTGCCGAAACATTGCCAAACGGGTTTTTAAAATAATTTATAGTTGGATACTTTGTGGCGGCAATTTTAAGAATGAATAAAGGGGTATTTAAGTCAACTTCGTCCGCATTAGAGTATATACCTATATACACGTTATATACATATATATATAATATATATGGAGTAAATTAAACAAATTTTAAATTAATTTGTGGAAAAGAGAGGTATGTAATAAAATCAAAACATCAACATAATGAATAAATTTAATACAATATAGAAATATAAATACATAAAATGTCGTACGGAATGGGCGTTACATTATCAAAAAGGAAAAAAAAAGTACAAAGTTACTAAAAAAACTAAGTAATTTTTAAAAATTTATAAAATTTGATGAGTATCAGACCTAAATCAGTAAAAAAATTTACTGGAGACGATTAGGACAAACAGTAAACTTTTTATTTCAGCTCATTCGACAAAGGAAGGAAATGTTATATTTACTGTCCTAAAGTCCATCGAATGTAATTATAAAAATTACTGTTTTAAGTATTCCGATTCAAATCAATTGACTCCAATGCCACTTTTAACTATATTAAAATCATACGTATGTATATCATTTTTTAGCCAAAGTCTGATTCAGGTCAATCGACAAGATGTCAGCCTCCTAATCCATCAAAGATCCCGGCTTTTGAATCCCCGTCAACATAAATTTCTTTAACAATTTCTGATTAATTCCTATAGATTTAAACCAAATTTTAAACAATTCATATCGATAGAGAATCGAATAATTAATCCACGTAACCAATAAAAAATTGTTTTCGTTGCTATTGTCAATTTTTCTCGCACTTGATCCAATCGACGTAAATCGGCATCCGCTTGATCAATCAATTCCAACTGGATGTTGCGGCACTAAAACTTACCATTGGAACCGATTGAAATCTTTTGAATCGACCCCTTATATAGCAGTGCCTGCACCCACGAGGGATGAACCTTCTTATGCTCGCACTTTATTGAAGATGACGTAAGAAAATTAATATTAACACTCGCTCGATCGTATAATTATATCCTTCGAACGAAACTGATGCTTCTTAGGTGTACGACCACTTGTATCTATATGGTGCTTCGCTGCGATTATCCTCAAATAGTAAGTATTAAAGTGACAAGAGGGGAGTGAAGTCGAAAATATGGTAGCTGTATTTCATTCCATCCGAAGAAGAAAAATAAGCATCTAAAGCATTTTATTCGTGTTGGGGTCGAACAAACATTCACAAGACTACGATTAAAATTACCTTGTGCATATCATAGACGCAAACAAATTGTAACTATGATTTTTATTTGAGGCTTTTGCACAGCTGTATCAAAGCTGCATATAAGCTGATCAGATATAACAATATTGTGAAGCAACGAAATTTTCATTGGTCATTATATAAACCACAGTAAAATTACTGTGTAGGGGAGTTTGCTTACTCAGGGTTAAAAGAAAACTTGGTCAGTCTCACAAAAATTCGACCAAAACGGCTTATAGCTTTTAATCGTTGGTTGAGAAAAATTCTTGATGCCAATGGGTTCTCGAAACAGATCTACGAAATACACGTGCTAATAGTTGCATCTATTATTTTTTACAGAAAGGTAATTCTCTAGCGACACCTCTGCACAAACGTCGTATCAAATTTGAAATGATATCAGTAATACACAAAAATTTTTTACAACTAATCAAGATTTTTTTCAAAGTAAAGTATCTTACATCTGATTAAATTATATTTTTTTTATCAACAAGAAAATTTTTAAAGTATAGGTATCATTTGGATAAAATCATTTTACCAGAAAATTCAACAATTACATTCTTTTATTCAATTCTTAATACGAAAGTAGTACAACAAACGTATAGTACAAGATGACATAAAATATTTACAAAAGCGTTGTATGGTATGACAAGAGCAGTTTTTTTTCTTTTTCATTACAATGTTGTCGTGATTTTTAGACTAAAAGATTGAACTGTTTCTATGTTTTCATGAATATTAACAGAATCACAAATTTATCACGTTGAATGATAAAAACGATAATTACTCTACAATGATGATTTAGTAGTAATTTTTTTTTTTTTTACATTACTAGTAGTCTGTTGACCTAACAGGTGCCTTCCTCCGCCTCTGGTAAGTGCAAGTATATAATTGGTCACTTCGAATCCACACCGGTACGCCCACGATTTCTCGTTATTTTAACCATTACTGCCTCGTTCATCAATAACTGGTATATGCATGTCATATGACAAGGTTAGTCACTGCTCTTATCCACGGAATGTAGTTACGAACTTTAACGTAAACACCGGGATAATACGTCAGTTTATAGTTAACGAAGCCCATCGTTCCACAAGCCTTGCCAAAAGAAACGATGCCAACGAGATATAAAAAGCCGTTGTATACAACAACAGCAGGACCACCGGAATCACCTCCACAAGCATCATTTGGGCGCACCAGGTATCCAGCGCAGAACATGTTATCAGTTACCTTTGGAAAGTAGAGCCGGCAGTTCTTGTGACTGATTATGGGAACAATTACTTCTTTCAAATACTCATCTCCCGCTACTCCAGGCTGATAACGAAATACAGTCGATTGTCAATACAATTTTGTTTGAATAATAGTTTTTTTAGCTCATAATCATCGTAAATATGTTTGTACACTGATACTCACAGCGACTTCCCCGTATCCAGAAACAGTTATATCATCTCCAGCTTTCGGATCCTTGACAGCTATCAAAATTGTCTTCACATTACCATTCACGTTGGGTTCAATGGGACGAGATAACTTGAAACATTATAAATAATCATTATTACGTAGAAAATAAAAATTTTAACAATAACTGATGCACGGATTACATGGTGAATAACGTGGCTTACCTTCAACAAACTGATATCATTATCGAAAGTTATTTTATCGTAATTTTCGTGTACAATAATAGATTGAACATCATAACGATAACCGGTTTCCTTCGTTGAGGAGCCAATCATCACCCACATATTATTTTTACTAAAAGAAACGAAGTTAATGATATTGTTATTCTACGTAGACATTAAACAAAATAAGTTATCAATAATATAGTTACCACTCATTGAAGCAATGGGCAGCAGATACGAGCCAGTATTTATCTATTATCGAAGCACCACAGATCAGCTTTCCATTGCAAATGATTTGAGCCTAAATTTTTAAGTTGTAAATGTGTTAGTGGAGGTATGAGTTGCCGGAAAAATAACAAAAATGCGGTTAAACAAAAGTAATTTCTCACTTGATATGGTACTTCTCGAATATCTGCATAAGTCCCTCCTTTAATTCGGGACACTTTTAATGAAGATTTTGTTTCATCTGAAAAAAAAAATGAATAAATAAATAAACAATAATCGGTGAATAACAATTTTGTAATTTTTCTTCGTTTACTTTAGATTTAACAAACTCAAGTCATGGAAATTGTCATGTTTTTATATTTCTATACAGTTCTATAATATATCGTACAATAAAAGAGAGTTGTTTAGTATGAAAAAGAGACCATTCGATGTGAAAATTTGTTAGAAAATAACTCCTATATAATTCAAACTAAGAGAACCCAACAATTTAAAGAGATGTGAACAAAAAAGAGCCTACGTAAAACTACTTTAAAATCTTAATTTTTCCAGCTTTGTCCACCTCAAGTACAAGAGTTGGTATTGAAACCACGGGGTCAAAAACTTTGACGGTCCATTGACTAACTATGGTATCTTCCAGTTGTTTGGAATGATAGTAATGAAATAAAACTTACTGTGCGTCGGGGCACTGTGGGAGCCAGCAACGAGGAGAAGAAAAACCCAAGGTATCATTGCGGAACTTTTGTCGGTAGCTAAATTGAATGACTCCAAGGAACGTTTGGAACTGGAACTGTTCACTTTCGATCACCGACTAGTTTTGGTAGAGCACTGGTACCAAGGCTGTCGATGTCAAATACAGATTGAAGTGACTTTGCACTCCGTACCCCTATTTAACGGAGAAACCCCCACAAGAAAGAACCCCACTGATGGGGACGATTCGCTGGAACTCCAAGTGACGTATAACCGTTGCTTCTCGATGAATCATAGCTTTTCACTTTTGGAAAAGCTAATTGCGTTTGAATGGGGGTACATTGGGAGTAGCTTATCTATTTTCATGAGGAATAAGTAGAAAATGCATCACGTTGTTTTATGTGTGCATAGGTAAATGTGTTCAAATGCATTTGTCCGAGTGTATTCGAAGAATATGCGATAACTCGCGATGTTTCAACCCTAAAGCTTTGCCGTTAAGTTTTCTTGTATCATATGTTGATTTTTCGACAAACTGGAGTTATATTTTTTAAAAATGCAATGCTCGGCAAAAACATGTTTTTTTTTTATCATTTTCAAATGTTCCTTGCCTTCTTGACCATCAGAATTACACTTCGAATAAAAATGTACAATTAAAAAAAGTTTTTTTTCAATGAAATCCACAACTTTATTCGTACCACCCAAACAGTTTTCAATAAAAATTATTAAAAATACATCAAAAAAACCGATATTTTTTTCACGTTCCCCAATGTTTTCTTCAATTTTTTAAGGATGGAAATGGTTCTAGATAAATAATTAAAAATATCGGAAGATGGAATTTTTTTGAGATCTACGACTTTTTTTTTGACACCGAATGTTCGAGATTTTGAATTTTCATGATATAGCCAAAAAAAACTGATTTTTGCTGAAAAAACAGACAGTAAAATATCGTATTTTTGAGCTTAAAGCTATGAAAATACCATTTTTTGGATCCAAATAAGTGGTCAAAAGCTTCATATTTTTGAAATCTACATTTGTTCTTGATGGTGAATAGACCTAAAACACCCACTTAAAGAAACAAAAATTGTATAAAAATGTCTCTCCACCTGAAAATAGTTCACTATACAGCCCGAATACAGGCGATTGACAAACGAATTTCAATAATTTGCGCGCAACATTGTTCTAAACAATAGCTTTAGTACTTCTCCAAGCCATACTAATATTATTGTTTTTATTTTTGTTGTTAAGACATGAGGCTAGTATACAAAAAAAGTTAATTAGAATAAAAAATGCAATTTTTGTAAAATACGATAATTCCGAAATTCCATTTATAAAGATTAGAAAAATGATTCTAAATCCTGGAACTTTACCAAAATAATTACTTGCTAACTCGTGACAAAAGCTTTGGAAAGGACCAAAAATAACGCGTTTACATCATGTTAATGTGATTTATGATATTTAAACTCGAAGTAGAGTACTCTGGCTAACGTGTAAAAAATATTATTAGACAAAAGTTTTTTTTAAATCCATGTGTATGTATAAAATCAACAAAATCGAAGAATTTTCTTCATCGATTTTGGTAGGTATGTAATTTTTTTTAAAATGATAGATGAAATCCGAAATTTCTAAGAAATTCATTGTTCATAGTGGCATACATTATTGCCACTTTCAAAGTAACATGTTTTACAACGTTAATAAGAAAAATTTTTAATATACTCAAGTAAATACCTATTAACTCACAGGCTATCGAAAATTGTCTTGTGTTCAAAAGAACAATTTACTCATAGCGAAAGTACTATCACTAATTTTCAGTTAAAATGAGTCACCAATTTGAAAGTGTTTGAATGACAAAGATATGAATCTACTGCGCCACATAAGTAATTATCGCCGTCCAACTTGACGATTGTAATTAAAACATCGTTAACTCACTTTTCCTAAACGTCATCCTAACACTTTTCTAGTACATACTCAGCCCTTGATGATTATCATTAAAATATAATTACTAGATCATTATGTTTACAAAATATCACCACAATTTTAGGGTATATAAAGGTATGATTTTGTCAGCGAATTCAACAGTCGACAGGAGCCTAAGTTTGGTACTAAAGCCTGAGCCGATTGTATTACATCTTTGAAGCAAAATTTAAATATTTGTCTCAGTTAATTTAAATTCAGTATTTGAAGTATTAACTTCTGGTGTAGTTGTAAGAAGTTAGAGGTGCAGATTGTGATTGAGTTGCATAGGTGTTTGACAGGGACATAAGAATTAATTTTACAATTTACTCTTTAGCTATTAAATACAATTCAAGTTGAATCAATAAAATGTCGTCTCTTCAAGAAAAAAATAAAAATAGTTTTTTAACCGCATTGATTGATACTTGCGTACAACTAAATTCGTCGCTTAGTAGTTGCAAATATTTTTCTAAGCACATTGCTGAAGTAAACAAAGATTTGTCAGAAGCAATTGTCAAAAATAATTTTCAACCGTGCGATAAAAACATGCATGTAAGAGTGAAAATGTCAGGAATTCATTTTCAATTGGAGGATAGTTCGGTGGAATTTGTTTTAAAAAGTGAAGCTGCTCAAAACTTGTGTTTCCACACCGTATGCGTAAAATGCATTAATTTACGTGGAATTACTATTTCGCGTGCCCTGATTATCCGAAATAACGTGAGCGCCCTCAGGTTAGTTTTATCTCATAATTTACAATAAAATTTTCAACTTAAGTCTTGACAAAATGTCTGTCATGCTAAAATCGGTTCAAAAAACAAGCTTTTGAAAAAGTTAAACAAACGATACTTGGTTAATTTTGTAATTTGTTATTAAGGTATGAATAATGTTCACATCTTTTTGTCCTCGTATATTAAAGACGCTTTATTTCATTTTTTTGTTTCTAAATGAATGCAATCTCAGTTTTTTCAAAGTTTTTTTAAATGTTACAATTGATTTCTTAAAAAAATAGCTACTAAAATATTTTAACATATAAATAACATCTTTCCCTCAACTTGACTACAAATTTCACTTCAGATTTTAACATGTATGGTACTTGTACTTTACACATATTTATAATTTTATTAGCCTTAAATTGAAAGAATCATCATAATTTTAGTAATTGCAGTAAACTTGATAATTTATTAGAAGTTTTATCTTTTAAATAGTATTTAAAAGGACTTTGTGTCCGCGTATATAATGAATATAATATAATGTAAATTGACTTTTAAAGTTGAAATCAAACTTAAATTATCGTATTAAAAAATCATACATTAGGATTCTACTTATTTAAAAAAAAATAAGTAAATGGTTTTTATTGCATACAACTCTCAACAAAAATTTACTTTCTTTTAAATCTAATATAAAACAGTAGTTCAATATTAAATCAAAAGAAAAATTAATAAAAGTAATAATTAAAGTATAAATAACGTTCAAAACAATGCACGAAATTAAAACAAAAAAAAAGTAAATGGAAATTTATGTGTAATTAATTGTCATCCAGCATGAAATTGTTTACAATGATCATGAAAAATTTTTTTGCAAAATAATATAAATTTTTCCATTTTGAATTCGAAAAAGATTGTGTATTCAAATAATTCGATTATTTATAAGTTAAACCAGAAATATGAAATACATAACTGGTTCCACATTTTTTATAAATACAAGAGACTCTTTTACACAACTAATGTGTAAAATTTTATCCTAAAAACGCAAAACTTTCGAGCACTACAAGACAGTTCTTTTTCTTTCAGGATTTTATTGCGAAGAGGTGCTGACATGAATCGAGTCACCACTGAAGGCATGTCCCTACTGCATTACGTGAGGACCGCAGAATGTACCAGTTTATTACTGAAATACGGAGTTGATCCCGATGCGGAGGACCTAAACGGCAGAAACTTACTTCTCAAAATTCATCTGAAAGTCTCTAAATGCACCAATTATGTGGAAGGGAAAAAAATCGCTAAACTTCTGGTCCATGCAGGAGCGGATTTAAAAGATGTGGTAGAGCAAATTTTGAAAGAAAGTAATAGAGTGTCACATCCTACAGAAGGTGAAATCGTTAAATACAAAATAGACGAGTTCCAAGATTTCATTCTAGAGGCAGTGCTCATGAAGGTACAAAAGTTATTGGCTCTGAATCTCGAGGACCTAATTGAACTGTACAGAACACATCCATTATACGCCAGAAGTGTCTCTGAAACTTTGCTCATGAATGTGACGAAATTTCAGAATATTTCTATGCTCGATGTTTTAACTAAAAGTGCGGACTTTCTGCTCAATACTTTTCCACATAAGCAAGTTTTGATTAGTCTATTACCTTTTTTGGAGGAAAATTTAGCACATTTGAAAACCTTTAAAGCCATGATGATAGTTAAATGTGTATGTTTAAGTACTAGATTTATGTTAGAGTACATTGCAGCTGACGTTATGTACAACAATTTCCCTGCTTTTTGTTACAATCATAATACGGCCTATGCCATTTTACGCCATCTCGATGTACAGAGCCTTAGAAATGTTATTAGCGTAGATCCTAAGGTGTTTAACAGAATGCAGGATGAATTTATAACTGAAAAAATGTACAGAAATGTGTTAAAACGTTTCAGTGAGTTAAATAGCCATGTATTTTTCCGACTATTGAAAAAAAAAATGTTTNCCTCAAGGTGTTAATTAAATACGCAATTACATGAAATGCACGGAAAATTTTGTGATTTCTCAACATTCAGATCTACGAAAATATGAAAAAGAGTTTGAAATTTCAATTCATACTTGATGAATGGGACTCTCTGTCAGAGATGTTTTTTGATAGATATTACGAATGAAGTCGGATCAAGTAGAGATAAGTTTGGCTTCCTCATCCAGATTTTGTTTTACAATTTAATTCGTAATACATTTTTTGTTTAACAAAAAATCAAAGTTTATTAAATTTTACCGACACGACAAAATGTTGATTACAGAATAAAAAAGAATTTTTGAATTTAACATTACGATACAGACAAGTAATTATAATCTCTGATTAACGTAAAAACGTTAACAAATAAAAATGAAGCTATGTCAAAATACATTCTGCTTTTTTTCTCCAATTCACTAACTTTAGTACCTATACGTAGTAACTTGTGCTTTCTGAAGACAGTTGTTTCTACAGTGCAATGAAGTATTAAATACAAACGAATTATTAATTGCCTTTTGACGTAAACTTAAACTTTATCATAAAAAAATAAAAAAATAAATAGTAATAATAAAAAGTACTTTTATCTTCCAACGAGTATTCTGAATCAGTCGATCAAGCACACGAATGACAGTTGCACAACCCACTTCAGGGTGTCTTCTTCTGTTTGTCCTTCTTGCTCCTGCGGTAAAACCAAGCGTAAAGGTTCTTCTCGCTCATGTTCAGCTCCTCCGCCAAAACGTGCCTCCTCCCCCTGTCCGGGATGCCCCCCTCCGAAACAAACACCTCTTCTAAACGTCTCGTCGCTTCGGGCGCGAGCGAAGGACCTGCTAGCTTGACGTTCTCCTTCAACCTGCGCTTGGAGAACCACGTCTCAATGTACCTTGTCGACACGTTCAGCTCCTTGGCCAACTCCATCTTCCTTTCCTTGGCGATTTTCGTGCTTTTGGCAAACTCCTTTTGCAGCTTGGCCACTTGATCCTGGCCCACCACCAACCGCTTCCTCTTGGCAATGCCACTTCCTTCCACGTTCGAGTCCACGGGAACGTTTTCCTCCTCAGACGAGTCACCTTGGACAGCTCGACCACTCATGAATTTGGTATTTTTGTGCTCACCACCCGAGCTACTCCACCGCTTGGAGGAACCATCCTGCAATCCTCGATGCTCCGAGTTCACCTTCGGCTGTCCACCTACTTCGGAACTTTCCCCTGAAAAGCCTTCGGTTGCTTTTCTACCGTCCGAACTCGATAACGGGGGGACGAGGGTAAGGCCGCGTGGCTCGTCACCCCTGACAAAGTCAGCGAGCAGCGAAGCTACCTTCTTCGGGAGATGGAACTTGGCCGAAAAGTCAGCCAGCGATGGGACAGCCAAGTGCCAGTCCTCCCTCGGTGCGGGTAACGGAGTGTCGTGCTTCTTGCGCTGGTTGGCGAACCACCTGGCCAGGTGCTTGTCGTCGACGCCCAGCTCCGCGGCGATGGTCCGCCTTCGGGCTTTGTCTAGATACCTGTCCTTCTCGTACTCCCGCTTCAGGAGGCTCATTTGCTCGGGGCTGGGGTGCCAGATCTTCTTCCGCGCGCCCAGTTTCTGGCGTTGGTGGCCGAACCAGTCGAGGACGCTCTGCTTCGGGAGATTCAAGCCACGGGCTAGCTCGAGCGCGCGTCTCGGGCTGAGGTAGGAGTTTTTCTTGAACTCGTCCACCAGTTTGTTCTGCTGGTGCTTGCTGAGGCGCGCCCTAGGGGTGTCCGATTCCATGGGCATTGGTGCGAACACGTCCGAGTCGTCGCGAGGTTTGCTCATCGGTTGGGGCACTTTGATGCTTTGGCCGATCGAATCGGTGGAGGTTTCGACGGGATTTTGCAAGCTCGTTTGGTCCTCAACGACGATATCTTGGTTGCGACTCATCTTGGCGAATGTTCTTCAAACTGTTGGCGAAGGAAAATAATGAAAGTAAAAAGTGTACACTGTACCACAGTTGTGGTTGCATCAGATTTTCTATTGCTGACGTCACAAACTTTTGTACTCACCCGGTGAATAGAATTTGAAATTTGATTTGCGGTGATGGAAAAAACCAATCTTTTTGACCATCGATTATTATTCTCTGGCTGAAAATATTGTGTTGAAACTTCCGAGAGTTAAACAAAACTATCACGTTTGATGTCGAAGCTAGTACATAAGCGTGACACCTAACTGGGCACGGAAATGTATAAAGTATTTGCAGCTTGGAATGTAAACACACTGAGTGAACGGAAAAAGCAAGTTGACTCTACTTCGAATGAGACAACTACTTTTCTTGTCGCCTTATATTATATTTACGTGTATAAGGTATCGTTTGAATGTTCGTGGAAACGGAAAATTTACGAGTGAAGGTATATTGGTTGTAGTGGTATGTTTACGTGACTTAGGAAAATACGCAATAACGACTGAATATTTGTAACTTCATTAAAAAATTTTTTTTCAACATCGATAGGCATTGATTACATGTTGATTGCTTTTATAATTAATAAATAAGTCTTTAGTTCATTAGTGTTTGATTTTAAAAATTACATACATACTTACTTTGTAGTATGTATAACATACACATCAAGTACTTGTATTTTCGAAAACTTGTTATTACCACAACTTTTTCTGGAGAAAAACATTACCTGTTTTTTTACTGATGGGTGCGCATTATCAAAGTTAGTAATTGGAATAGATACCCTAACAAGTTCAAGGTTAATGTGTACTGCTTTCATTAAAAACTCTTTTTTTTTAACTCCTAATGCGTAATTTTTGTAATGTTTCTCCTGTATTGGCTCGAAAAATATAGTTTAAAATTTATAATTACCAAAAAACAATTATTTTTACATAAATTCTTGTTTATTAATTTAAATGTTTTCACACAAGTATTCTAGATATGTACAAAAATCTTTTTTTTCATCCATCAGGTATAGCAGATGCAAGTACAAAAAATAATAGTTACAACTAATTAATCAAATTTTAATGACAATTTCTTTGTTGACCTCATACTCTTAATGTACAATTATTACAATACATGAAATAATAACTAATTAATTGTTTATTGTATATTTAGAGAAATCTTTATTCATTTCGAATGACTAATCATGCGTGTATAAACTTGAAAAATCTATAATATAACAATTTTGAACGTTAGAAAAATAATTTCGCAGTCTAGAAATTTTAAGTACTAAAATATATAAACACCAAGTACGAATAATATATAGATTAAATTTTAATAGAAATGAAAAAAATTTTACAAAAATTTGAAATTTGGGAGTTGATATGTGAAAAGCATAGAGGTGACGGAGGCATTTAACATCTTCAATCATCGAAAAAAATAATGAATGGGAGCATAATATGCCAATCAAAAATCAAGTATTTTATACATCGAGCGCCAATATAGTTTCAATAATATTTTTGCTCATGGTTTTTTTTAAACTAATCTTAAGACTATAATGCATTGACTTTATACTTTGAAGAAAAAATCGTGCCAGGAAAATCGCGCAATAAAGTTTTGTCAATACGAGAATGAGACGATCTTTCCAATGAATTCCTACTTCATGGATATTCGTAATGAAATTGTCAGATTGAAGTTTCCTCCTCACCGGTAAGTATACCTATATGCCAAATTGGTTTAGTTGTGATTCAGTTCGACTTCAACAGGTTATGACGACGGCACGGTGCAGGTACGGTCCCTGGCAGCCCTCGCGCAGCCCAGGCCAGAGTACGGCTGTGATGCGGGTGCCATTTGAGTTTGGTGACGATTGGTGCCGGGCGTGTACTTCGTGCCTGAACTCGGTGCCCTGGGCCACGTCTAGAACCAAAGACGTCGAGCGCGCTAAACACGCCCAGGCCAGTCGTGAGCACGAGAAAACGTACTTTTTTAGCTCTGTGCTGCTCCTGTGAATCACATTTTCTTACTTTTACTATTATTTGTATTATTATTTTTATTTCTTTTTTATTTTTCATAGGTGTCAATGTTTGTTATGTAAAGTAGTCTGAAATTGCGCCACCTGGCTGAAAACTTTGCTAATTTTTTGTTTCTTCGTATAGGGGTAAAGGGCAGGAGGCAGACAAAACGTATATAGCTATACCCATGTGTACGCACATATTCCTTCTCCTTCTACTAGGTACCTATCGTACGCACATTTTGGTCTTCCCCTCCCTCCGCTGCTGTAAACGTGGACAAAAAAAAATCAGTGGAAAAAAAGCGACACACTCTCTACCATAGGCACTGGCAATGTGGCAATCTCCCTACCCTACTCCCTACTACATAATCTCGGATCAGTCTCTACCAGAGATTAACGTGATATGCACGCAGATACAATTACACTTTGCTCACTTGATCCCAGTGAAAATAGTAAGCTATTCGAAATTTAAGCCAGCACAGTCTTTTGTTGCGAATGTTTAATGTGTGTTTAATGTCGTGAGTATTTTTTTTTTTATACTTCCTGTGTTAGTCAGTAGCAGAGATTAGTAGGGGTAATCTCTGTCAGTAGTCACTAGTCGACGAAGTAAAACGGCTTGACCAGAATTACCAGTACCCGACTTTGCCTACGTCCAAATGTTGAATAGGTACGTAAAATTTGAGTAGATAAAAAGTGTTGAAGTTTCTAATTTAGCAAATTTTATTTCATACCGTTAGTTGAAATGTTTTTGGAGATATGAGTCTATGGTACACATCGATTTATTAAAGTGAATTATAAATTGTAAGAAAATTGAGTCAGAAAAAAAAAAAAACACATTAGTTAACGTAAATATTTTTGACAGTTAAAGTATGTGTTTAACAATATAAATGAGTATTGATCATCATTGAATCGCATACAAAAATTAAGCTGATGATTCAGACCTTGGGCAATGCGTCACATATTTTATTACAATTTTTATAATAAAGTAATTATTCTTCGTATAAAAAAAATCTGCTGTTTATAATACACCGAGGTATCAGTATAGCTATTTGTATCCAAACCATTTTATTTTCTTGTTTGCACGATAATCCTAACATTAATTTGAATTATTATTTTTCTCTCAAACCATAACGTAGTAATCTAATTATATTTTATCACCCCTGCAGCTATATATTCATCAATTTAATTTCCAATGCCACTTATCATTTATTAGTTGCATTTGACCACATCTTATTTGCATTAATTCATTTTCATAATTTTTTTTAACAATCTCCACAGTAGAGAAATTATTGCAAACTTCGAGCTTTTAGGTTTTCCAAATTTTTTATCGTTCATAGGCTTACATGAACGTATAAGGGTGGGTTCGAAAATTACTGAAGGTCATCTGGATCGTTCGTTCCCAAATTGAAAATAAATTTTTACTGGTTATGGATTGGATGATCTGTTGTTCCTATAATCGTCAAATTTTTTATACCTTTATGTACACAGTTAACGAACGGTAATTTTCGAACGCGCCCTAATAATGCTTTGGCAATGTCAGATTATCAGAGATATTAGAAGTGAGTAGTTGCGCATCATGCTTTGGTTAGGGTTAGACAAAGAAATAAGGGGATTCACTGGCCGCTCTCTCTCTCTCTCACTCCGCGTATCGCGCCCTCTTATTCGCTACGTGCACAATTTTGACCGCATCCAGGTATAATTTTACATGGTGTTATGTTTCCTTCTGTAACTCAAACGTTGGAATCATGCATAGAAGATCGAGTTATGGTCTTTTTAAGTACTTATTCTAAGTAACAGCAAGTTCACATTAACTTTAAAAGCCCGTATTAATAAGGGACCAGAAGTAGCCATCTTTAACGTATAATTTAATTTTTATTGAACATAAATAACACTTGCCTCGTATCTTTGTTCTGAATAATTATTGTTTACATCTAAATTTTTACTGGAAAGTACATTTATAAAAGTTAAAGTTAAGGTTTTTAAAGTTAACTTTTAAATTTTCAGATTCACCTTCAGGCATCAGAGTAACACGATGGAAATACAAGGTTTAAACTTCAAAAATGACTTCTCTACACAATTCCATTGTAATGTAACGATAGAAAATGATTCATCTTGGGTGAAAGAGTCGGGAACTTTTACAATCGCATCATCGAAAAGACAAGGCACCTTAAGTATGCATGGTTTTCGGAATAAAGCTAATGATGAATTCATGATTTCTTTCCAAATCAAGTTAGCTGAATTTTATTCATATTATGAGGACAGGTACTTTGAATTAATATTTTCTGACAAAGAAAACATGAGCCAAGGATACTGGTATAAACTTTGTGGATATAATAACTTAGAGAAAATATTTAAGTCGCAAAGCTTACTTATTAAGATTGATAATTTCAGTCCCTATTCAACTTTAACATTTTACTTTAGCTTGAGTTGCTCAAAACGCGATTCAGAATATAAATTATATAATGATATTAAACAGCTAATGAATAAAGAACGTTGTGATTTAAAACTTATTTCTGAAAATTGCACATTTAAAGTGCATAAGAGTATTCTATCGGTAAGAAGTAATGTTTTTGAAAAAATGATCAATACAAGTATGCTTGAAAAAGAAACTAATGAAATAAAACTTGAAAACTGGAATTCCAATGTTGTAAATGAATTAGTAGCCTATGTGTACACTGGAATTTGTGACATAAAGAAAGTTCCTTTTCAACTATTGAGATTAGCTCATTTTTTAGAAATGACTGAATTACAAAATTTATGTGAAAATTATTTAGAATCAATTATGAAAATAGAAAATATAGTACTAATTCTTGAGTTGGCCAATGAAAGTCAATTTCAATTGCACAGTTTAAAACAAAAAGCTTATGATTTTATTTCTTCTAACAAAGAAATTTTATCCAAAAACAAAAATTATCTAGAATATTTAAGTAATAATATAAACTTAAACGATGTAACATTTATTTTGGAATTCTCTAAAACTTATAATTTAGAACATTTGTTATTGCAGGCTATGGAATTCGTTCGCTTAAACTATAAGTTGATTCTATCGGATGAGAAATGCACAAGCTTTTTTTCAAAGAATTCAGAAGTAATAATCGAAGTATTTAAATATTCATTAGATAAGTACGAATTATACACTTCATCATTGGCACAACAAGAAGTAAATCAATAATGTAATGTTTTTTAAAAGTACGTGCATAAGAATTTTTGTTCTCATGTATAATTGAATGGTCTAAAAAGGGAGCAATAATTTTTCAACATCAATAGTATAAATTTTTTACTATTTCTTATGCAGGTTACTTTGTTTTGAATATAATACAATAAAAAAAATGACGAAGCAACTTCGACTTTTTTCATCTGTATCACTATAACGTAGATGCGCACTTCAAATGATCCGATAACTCAAAGTCAACAAATTTTCAAAACGATGAAGCTAGACTCGCTAAAAGTGTGCCTTACTCTCAGTCATAATTATCTTCAACGTGTTTTTTTTTTTTTTTTTTTTTTCATAAAATTTTCAATCAAATTTACGGCACAACGAGGTCGATGAGTGAAATTGTAGTAACGATTTTGTAACGATCTTTTCATAGGAATCTGTGAGAAGAAAACTTTGAAATTTTATTTCTTAAAAATACCATAGTTAGGCCATTTGAAATACTAAGTACTATTATTTGTATTACTAAGACTAATGTTAATTATTTTTTTCAAGGATTCCTAAGAATCAAATATTTAATCTTTTAACTTACAATTGCGTATAAAAAAAGTAATTTTGTAGTGATTTTGTATTTTCTTCTAATTTGTACTTTGTATATTACATTAGTAATAATCAACATTAATAAATAGTTTTTTAAAGTATGTAAGTAACTAAATATTTTATTCCATGTTTATGATCTCGATTGAATACTTTTTAGAATAAAAAAGAGGAAAGTAATAAAATATAATTCTTAAAAAACTGATGGAGACCACTTGAAAAATAAGGATGGATTGGCTTAACGAGACGTTATTCTTTCTGAACGAGAAATTCAAGGATGCTTAAATGTGGATGTAAGCTTAAAAAACGATCGACAACTTGAATGACTATAGAAAAAACGAATTAAAATTCAAAATCGTACAGTACATATGTACTGCCAACAACACAATTGCTCAAAAATAAATCGCTCAAAGTAATCGTAATTTACTAAACTGTAAAAAAAAAACTACGATGGACATGCCATAACGTAACGATAATTTTATCAATTTTATACCTTAAGCAGGGAAAACCACTGAGAGTACGTTCAAACTGGCTGGTAACCTGTTGGGCAACTTCGCGTGCACCAGACTGGGCTCCAGCGGTAGCCAGTTGCCGTCGAATGCAATCCTCAAGATCAGCCGGTACCGACGGCTGGGACTGCGAACTTCCACCGTTTAGGATCCTCAACGCCTCGATGCGTCGCGAGGCTTGGAGTATCCCGGCGAGGCGCCAAGACAACTGAAAATCGATGTCACACGTTAAGTTCTTTTTTGTGTGGTTTTTCTCGTGAATTCAGAATACATTTTTTGAAGAAATTACAAAAAAGGTCCAAGGCAGAAGAAGAGTATAACTTTTTCTTTTATTTCATGATTTCTGCGTTTCATCACCAGAAGGTGATATTTCATGCATCAATGATTTCTTACAATCTTTACCGATGTGCATAATAGTACAATTTGATTCCCTGCCTTTTTTTTCTCATTTTTCTTTTCTATGATAGTATCACAATTTGATATACATAGCATTTTTATTCTTGTTAATCATTCAAAACATGTGTTGCAATATAGATTGTTATCATATATTAAAATTAAAAATTTTAGGTATCGATGCAGGTGGATTATTGTTATGCTTAGTACTGATCGTTAAATTACACTTTTGAGTATTTGGCCGCAATAGATCTGTTGGATCACAGCATTTAACTATTGTATCATTTTTATTTTTATAAGCTATTTTTTTTTTCTTTTCATTTGCCAAATAACAAAATATAAATTAAAAAATTAAAATTTCAAAACCGGATGAATGAAATATCATAAAAATACTTCAACCTACATTATTTGAACTGATACATTATAAACTCATCTCGAATCTCGTAGAAGCTTGGAAAACATTATTTCAGCTACCGCAGTTATTAAAACACAATTCTTTCCAAAACGTTTTATTGGTATTTTTTAACCAAATGATCCCTAGATACGAAGACAGAAAAAAAAAAAAAAAAAGAAATTAATCGACTCCAAATATCGAGTGATAAGAAACCCCAATCCCATCAAGCAGATCCAATCGTCAAAGACAATACGAGCAAAAAAAGCTCAACCAGCGCGCAACAAAGAGCGTAAATCAAAGTGATGGCGATACAACAGATCTGAAAAAAAAAAAAAAAAAAACAACAACCCGACGAATAAGCTCTCAATGAAAATGAGAAAGTCTTTCGATCATTCTGCTGAGAAATCGGCAGAGCAAAAAAAAAGGAAGCCCCCGCGGCCCTCGATCACAATCCCCATTGTACGCGCGTATTTGACGAGGGTATCGATTTCGCCCTCGAGTGGTTCGCAAAGTCGGCGATACAGGTACCACTGCACACCCCCCCGAATGTACGTACACAGGGACATGCAAAGCAGGAGGTGACCTTTTGCCTTTGCTCCGTATCATTTCACCCCGCGGTGTCGCTTCCTCCGTCCGACAGCGGGGTTATTGAAGGAGCCAAAGAGGCGTGGTTGAAACATTGCAAAAGCACTTTGGCCATGGGAAACTAGGTTGCTCGTGTTATGACTTTTCATGGGCCGTACATTGGTTTTGCATTGCGAGATTTTTATCTGCGGCATGTCTAAGTTATTGTAAAATTGCCAGTTGTGGTATTTCGTTGTAGTACCCGTGGAGAGTGCTTACGAAAAATATCGGACGAACGCGCCGATAAAACTACATTTATTTTTCGTCTTTGAAATAACGCAATTAAAAACATACCACCTTACAAATATATTAAGAATGTAGATGGTGATCCCGTATGATTCGAAAATTTTAAAGGTAATTATCGGCTCCAAGTGAGGGAGTTAACTATTCTGTGATGGTTTTGGGTAATGATCATACAGTGATTGGTTTCTTCTACTGAATAATAATTAAAAATGGCTTAGTCCTCCATTTTAATTGGCACATCATTTTCATGCAAACCAAATCGTAAGGAATTTGTAGTCATTGTGGACTAATGAGACATTTTTCGAATTTTATTGCAGCCTCATTTTCTTTAATTAATTGAAAAGGATATGTTTTTTCAATTGGGCTGTTAAAAAGTTATTGTCGTTACAATTTTCACAAAAAATCAAATGGACACAAGCAGCACAAATGATTGGTGAGTAAAATCGCGGCCACCTGTTGAATTTTACATTCCTTGGTGTCACACCTTTCTCTTTGTAATTAACACCAACGTGACTACGTTCATTCACTCGAGTCACCCAATTTGGTAAAAATCAGCACTCGTCAAAGAGCTGCTCGGCATAAATAAATTGGAATTTTTCAGAGCATTTTTCGAGGAACGTAAAGAAAAGATATAAAACTGCAAGCGTAAAGTGAAAAGCGCTCTAGGGGCACCATTGAAGTGTAGCACTACTTCGAGAAAGTCGATAAAAGCATTTTGCACCTCTAAGTTTCAACGAAGCTTAAAAGTTGATGCGTTTTTTATTTAGTTTCGGCAAAACCACCTCCTTTCAAAAATTATGTAAACGAAAGGGTAGTCGAAACGGTAGTTTAGACTTGTAGAGTCAAGTGTTGAAAAAGTGGTGGGAAATTTTATTTTCTGCAACTTTATGCGAGAGATGCAGAGATAAAGTCGTACCAGAATTCGATTACGTATAGCAGCATGGAAAAAAAACGTCACGAGTGTAATATTTATGCAAAGTTTTGTTTGTCACAAACATGGAGGGATTAACTTTTTGGTGGATTAGTGAAAATGTCCTCAACTTGTGAGGAAAACGTAACGTGTGTAAAGAAATATGGGATATCAAGATTTGCAAAAAAAAAAGACTAAATAATCAGAGTCAGTTGATATGAATATTTTACAAAACTACTCAAAATGAGAAGAAAACATTATAGGGAGTACAACCTTTTTCTTACTCCATTAGGTGTTGTTTTTATTCAAGGAGTAAGTCTTTGAGCAAGTCACTAATTTTCACAACTCAAAAAGTTGATCACGTAAGCCCTATCCACCGTAAAAAAAATTACATATAGACAGTTGATGAATAAGTTACTTAGGATTTGATGCTTAAACTTAGATGTATTTGTAGCGTACCACTTGATAAAAGTCAATTGAAATAACTATTTGACAGAATAAAACTTGTCCAAAAAAAAAAAAAAACAAGGTTTTCATTTGTTAAAAAATACAAGTTTCAGACTCATATAAATAAGTATTATTTGACTAGATGCAAAGAAAAATAACAAAATAATCGTCCTTTGAATGTCTATTCCCCCCCCCCCCCACGGACAGGAACATAATTTTGCCAATCAATGGAACCTCTACCGAACCGTATATTACAACTACCGATGCAATAATGATTATTTTTGTTCAAAATCCAATTGGTAATAGCTTCCCCCCAGGAAGAAGAAAAGGAAGCACTGGCCAAGTTACCACAACAACGGAGTAAAGGATCCTGGTCTTGAGCTCGGGCGTATCGCGCAACGGCTCCAGGCGGTTCAGCGCCTCGAGGGTGTGGGAGTAGGCCTGCGAGTACAGCCCGGCGTATCTCTCGCGCAACCTCTCGACAGCGACGTCCGGACAGTGGAGGCCTTGGAAAAGGTGAGCCTCGTGGCCTGCCGGCTCCGGGGTTGGGCTGCAGCTCTCGTCCGTGTGGTAGCCCGCGCTGCTCGACGACTCCTCCTCCTCCTCGTCCTCCTCGCCGTACTCGTCGTAGTAGTGGTCGCCCGAACTGAAGCTCTTCAGATTCTGAAGCAAACGAATTTTCCTTTATTTATGTGCTTTGTATATATATGTAAACGCACCGCTTCGTTCATTCCATCGAGTTTTTTTGCACTAGATTTATTTAAGATAATTGCCAACGAAAAATGAAGGAGGACTGTTTGATGTTTGACATTGACAATTGTACGTTTATTTTCAGGGTCCAATTGACAGATACACGCCAGCTTTCCCGTACATCCTTTCCTGCAGTACTTTTTCTGTCGTATATGAGTAAAGTATGGTTGTCCTCGGCTAAAGTTTTCCATTATCTTTCGTTTTTCTCAACGCCGTGTAATATAATGCCATAGTTGTGATGAATTTTCATTGCATGTACAATATTACACTTGAAAGCGTACACGCGTGAAAAGAAAGTTGTAGGAATCATCAACCCCTGCAGGGTGTCCAGGGTATATGAATATACCTATGATATCGTTATTGACATTCGTTAAGATCATCCCAAAAGTAAGTACCCAATCGTTGTGACGGAACGTTTGGAACAAAATTGTATTTTCAAAATAAAATGAACAGATAAAAGTGCAAATGTAATTCCAAGAAATTTGACTACCACCCCATGAAATGTGCACCAATGGTTGTGGGCAAGAAACCACTAGTCCACCTCCCAACTGAGAAAGAACCAACCCAAAGAGTTTCTTTCTTTTTAAATTTGATCTCTTCGTGACCCAAAAATAACCGATAAAGATCAACCCCATCAAACACGAACAGACCAAACAACGAAAACTAATAACGATGACGCAACGTCGTATATAAATTGTCGTCCCATATCCGACGGTATGGACGGGGGTGGGGTCAGCCACAGCCAGGCGCACGACACAACGACGCTCATCCGTAATGCACACTGCCAAACTTCATGATACGATCGAGAGCTACGCGGTAACGAGCCCAAGCAATCAAGTTGGACGTGCAACCGACGGGGGCATCACCGAAAGCTCCATCGATCCATCTCGTTCTCGCGATGCAGCGAACCGGCGATTGAACTCGCTTTGGGGGGGGTTTGCTCTTGTGTGTAACATTACTGGTCGCAGCAGCCGGGGGATAATGGGCACCGCCAAAAGTCCCGAAACTCGCTCGAGGACGTCTGGGGAGCTTTTGAGGGCGCAGTTGATCCCAACGTGCTTGCAGTATACATTGGTATGCGCTTGGCTAGGACATGCTTATTGGACGCTCTGCGGCTATTCGATTAAGGAGATGGGGGGTGATATGTGACCGACATTCGACGAATGCACATGGAAGATGGGGAGGGAGCGTTAGCCGGAATAATCGCTTTTGAGGATTGTATGGCTGATATTCGCAATGTATCCTTAATTCGGAACCCTTTACGATTCAGCAAAACCTCCAAGAGTCATCGACTAAGGTCGAGAGATTCCATCGTACATTGAATTCTGGGTAGGAATTGGTAAGAGTTGTTTTGAAAATCTAATTTTTAACTGTCAGTTTCCCTCGATTGGAGGCTGACGGGCCAAGAGATGAAGTTCCTCGCGGTTTCGAGATTTCATCGGCTTGGATTGTTTATGCGCCAAAGTCTTTTTTTAAATTTTCCCGTGGAGCAACAACCTCACGCGCCTGCAGCCTCTCCTCAAAAATGTGAGGTACGGGCCAAAATTCCAGGTTGCCCGGTGCGCTTCCGTTTGTGGGTGTAAGACCGTATTTTGCGCGGCAGGACCTACCGAGAAGGGAAAAAGGAGACTCGCGAGGGCTCTTCCCTGCTGGACCACAGCTGAGCACGCACACACGCGAGAAAGGACGGCGATCCATTTTTTCCCTACCCCACCCTCCTTTCAACTCCGGGAGAAGAGAAACTCAAGGCTGTCTCGGCAGTTTTTTCCGGGCCTCCATTCCGAATCCCGAAATCGGCGCGGAGAGGAGAATTTATCTCCTCGAGAAAGATGGCCGTTATTAGAGAAAGTCTTGGAGGATCCTTTGTCTGCGGGTACGCGGGGGCAGAGAAAAATTGGGCTGTTGGTACACATCGGGAAAACGCTTATTCGAGCTGGGATCGTTCGGGCGGGGCGGTGGTGATGCCGGAATTGTGCGTATATGGGTGGCCGTGGGTTTGCAAGAGAAAAATACAACGATGGTTTTTTTTTTGGTCAAGTTATCTGAAACTTGAGTGGTTTTCGTGTAACGAGTTGGGGACCTGCAGTTTCTCGTGATCGCTTTTTTTCGTTCGCCGTATCTGTTTGGCCAATTTATACGCTGGTATATTTTCTATCAAACACGTGTCTACATTGTGATAAGGTGATCGGCCTTTCATTAGTTATTTCATGTTATGTGTGAGTAGAAATTTTTTTTTTTTTATCTGAAGCGTGGGCTAAAAATTTGAGCGTCGCGTAAGCTAAACAGAAGTGAGTTTGAGACATGTATGTCGTGAGATAAGCAATTTATTTTTGTCCTTTTTGTCACTACATATCTTGACACACGTTTATGAGAACGAGTGGAATATTTATGTAAATGATTTCCTGAAGGAATTAAAACCAAATGTTATGAATATGATCTGTGAATTGTTTAAAAATGTTGTATTAAAAAAAAAAGTTTTCTTTGGTAATTTGTTATTTAGCAACTATTTTCGAATTTTGAAATATCAACGATAAAATAACTTTAAAATAATTACTGTCTACGTGGAATCGTCTCGTTCATAATATAAGAGAAAAAAGCTTGTTTTAAAATTTTTTTATTATAATGTACACATTACTAAATTAAATTACGCATATTTCCAACATTTTCATAAAATTAAACAAGCCCAGCTTTAACGAACATATTTAGTTTGAGTTTTAATGAACGTATTAAATAAACAATTTTTTTACAAAAAATAGTTTTTTTATCATTACTTTAAGTTAATAAAGAGTTTTATTTATTTATCTTTTGTTTCCTTGAATTATTTTCTCACGAATACTTCTTAATAAAGACTGTAATAATGGTAAGGAAAATAAAAAAAGAGTTTGTTAAATCGACGAGTGAACGATAAAAATCTACTTGTATTTTTAGAAAAATTATTAACATCAGCGTAACAGTTTTTTATTACTATGTAAGATATTAAAATTCTGTCTGTACAAACTGGAAAATAAAATAATGAAAGTTTTGTAACCATTAAGTTTAGATTTGTATTCTTGTCACAATTCAAAACACCATTCTATTTCCTCAATTCGTGAGAATATTTTTGGTAATTAATAGACAGCAATGCTACATATATTAAAGTCGGAAAATGTTTTCCTCATTCCACCTTTCTATTTTCGAAAGCAATTTCAGAAGCACAATTGCATTTTAAATTGGGGTTATACCTAGTTTTTTCTACCAGAGAAAAGTTTCATTTTTCTTGATATCACCAGACAAGGCTTTTCAACTTTAATTTCCGAATACTCGTATGTTTTATTTGACTTTTTTTATTCGACTTCCGCACGTTTTTTCGAATGGTTTAACGAGTGCCGTTGTGAAATTGATATTGGAACATTCGTTAGCTTTTCCGCGAGCACGGATTATTCCATTCCCGTTGCGTGCATGTGGTAATTTAATTATTTCGACAACACGTGAATTTCGTTCGATGGTTTTCGTCTATTTTTGACACGGATGAGCTTTTCATTTATCGAGAAGCAATTTTTCGTTTTTTGTGGAAATTTTTTAAAAAAAGGTCTTCAAAAAAAAAGAAAATCTCAAGCTTGATCTCAAAAGCCTGAATGTCTTAAATTGACTTTTTTCCTCGACTCTTACGTTAAACATTTCGTATGTTCATATAACAAAGCTATTGTGAATATAAAAAAAAAGAGCTGGCATAAAGCGAGTATGAGTGCTTTGAAAAAAAATACGGAACTTTTTAAATTTTATTGATAGTTATTATGATAATTAAATTGTTAATAATTTACAACAAATTGTCAATGTCACTGATTAATATAAATCAATTAATGAACAAGAATTGAATAGTCAGTTATTAATAATAATTTTTATAAATAATCTTAGTTTGAAATGACATATATTTGTGAACGTTTGACTGCTAGAACTGACAAAAGCGGCTTAGACCCATTGGTGTCATTTTGGTCAATGGGTTCATCTAGAAAATATTATTTCCATCAAGAAAAACAGAGTGCAAGTGATGTAAGCTATTGTACAGACTAGACGGTGGACTACGACATATTCGAATGGAAATAAATTTACACGAAACTAAAAAAGATTTGTGTATCGTTAGCATGAAACACCTTTTTTGTAAAAGTGAAATTTATGTACAACTTTTTTAATGCAAATTACTTTAAAATTTTTTTTAATTAATTAAATAAATTACTACATTTAATTTTCTTTTTTTTTTCAAATTATTGATAAGCAATTTCATTATTCGAAATTTATGATTATCAAGTGGTTACTCCAGTGTGAAAGTGAAACTAGAATAATGATTTTTATCATTCAATTTACTTATTAATCTTTACAAATTAAAAATGTATCATCGCTTTAATTACATTGCACCCAATAACCCAAAAAAATTGTTTCTACATTAAAATAAAAATTCATATAAATATCTGAAACCGTTATCGCTGAAACTGTGCTAGATAACATTTCCCAAAGTTAGGTTGGAACCTCAGACACTTTACTGATATACACTTTCTCAGTAAATCTAATTTGTAGAGCCATATAAAAGGCACAATTACATGGTTTCGAGTATACAGCGAAATTATTAATCCCACCTATGAATCAAGATAATTTACCCAATTATCTAATAACGACCTGTATACGATGTTTAAGCAACTGGCACGAAAAAAAAAAAAAAAATAAAAAAACATCCAAAGCGGATGTGACGAGTCGCGCCTACTCCAACTTTCTTAACACTGTAGTGAAAATTCCCCGCATCGCCACAGACGCACTATTGACGCGTGCGTACCGCGCCACCCTCTTCCCCGCGAAACTGGATTATCTGCTTTTTCTCTCAAGTGAAAATGCAATGGTGCTTGAAGTTTCGGTCTTTTTGTCCCTCCCATTGGCAGCCCATAATCGTCATTCCGATTAATCTTGAAATATCTCCGGCCGGTGCTTTTTTTCCAACGCGCGATTCGCTAAAATCCAATGGGCCGAGGAGAAAAAAAAAAAATTCATCGCATGTAACTTTACGCGAAAGTCGTCTCTTCGGTGTTTTGTTTTGTTCGGGATCTTCTACACACGCGCAGGTATAACCAGAGTTTAATTTGCGTCGCCGGTGATTTTTGTCGGAGGGAGAGGAATGGAAAACTTTCATCGGCATCGGCCAAAGTTTTAATCGAAGCGCTCGCGCGGGAAAATTGCTTGGCCGGATCAGCCGGGATCAAAGGATGCCTGCTTTGCCGTGACTTTTTTTGCCACCCCCCCCCCCCTCTTGGGCGCTTCTTCCAACTTTTTCAAATTGATCGTAAAGGGTCGCTTTGTGATGTGTGTCTGTTTTTTTTTTTTCTCACCTTTTTTGTCGCGGAGAGAAACTTTTGCCCTGGATTTTTGCCGATCGGGGATGTGGTCGCGAATCGGAGGATTTAAATGCAGAAGATGGTAGCATTTTTTAACAAAAGTTACTTGTGTCCTCAACAATCGTAAAAACATTAATTTGAGTCCATATGGTATTGGAAACAGCTAGTTGTACGGATGAAAGCAAATTTGTATTTTCAATGCAAGAAGAAGTATCTGATTACCATTTAAAATTATCATTTCAACGATTTTTTTGTCTGCAGCTTGTAGATTTGAATAAAACATTCAAGTAATACGTTTTTTTTGTTATCAGGTGATATTGAAAAGATACGACGCCACAATATCGCAATCTTACACAAGATTTTATTTATACCTCATAGTGTCATTAATTTTATATACTGAAAAATCAAATTACATTGAAAGATGTTAGTACGCCTATATAAAAAAAAATGGACAAAACAATCAAATGTATTACTTTGTGTAACATATGAAAAAAGCAACAGAAAAATTATTGCATCGAAAAATTAATATATCTAGTTGGTACGTAAAATTTTTATGTAAGAGTTTTGACCGTCAATATCAATTTAGTGCATGAAACTTTGGATTTTGCTAAATTTAATATTGTTTAAATGCCAAATAAAAAAAATTCAAGTCCAGGTGAAGCCTACATGCAACTATTTAATTGACATGTATTAAATTTAAATTGTTAAAAAAAATATTAATCATAAAAGGTAAGAATGATTTTCGTAACGTAAGTATTGTAAGATAAAATGGAATCAAGGTTGAAATTAATTTATTGACACTGAAATTCATTATTGCTTGATCAACGATTCAAACTTGAATCGTTAAATTGATTACCAAACATGTAATTAGTGGTTGACAATTGCAATTATTGATTACTTCAGTGGTAATTCTCAAATAAAAAACTATTGTGGTAATTAACAATTTAAATTTTAATTGTAATTACCATTCAATGATAAAACGTTTTAATAGTTATTGAAACGTTTAACTGTTATATTTTAGGTGATAATCACTAATTACAAGCCATTCACAATTTAAGTACACTTATTTACTGGAAAATTGTGTGGGAAATTAATGAAGAGCAAAACTGTTTATTTACATATAAACTATGAAAATGTCCCTAATAAAATATTTTTTTTTTTTATCAAACTTGTAGCTCATGCATTATTTTGTAAAACAGTTCTTATATAAGTTGGGAACGCAGTTTTGAATAATATTGCCAAATTCATTACAGTAAAAAAAAAATTATGATTGCTACACTGAATATCCATGACAAAATTTTTGTTTCTTTTGCATGTATTTATATTTTTACCGTCGAGTTATTAATTAAATATTAAACACCTTCATCGTCAATTACCATAATGGTATGATTGTGGATTAAAACTTTATAAAAAAAACTACTGTGAATTTTGATTGAAAAAATGTATGAACCCATTATTCCTCGTGTAGAGCCTACTTAAAAATTTTTTGATAAGAATCCAACTTGAGCTACAATTATAAAAAACGTGCAAAAAAAATCTAGTGGTAACAAATTGTAAAAAAAAAAAAAAAAAAAAAACCACGCTTCCAATAGACAATCAAAGCAGTAAGCACATAATAGTGCTCACCTGGTCGTTATCTCCGCTCATAAGTTGCATCGCGAGGGCGCAGCCCCTGGAGAACTGCAGCAGTCCAGCGGCTAGGCTGACGGTGTTTTTCGAGCCATTGGCCTCTCCTCGTTTACCGGCCAGTGCCACCACCGCCTCGTTGCGCCTCAGCGCGCTCCACTGCCTCAAGGCCTCCTTATCCCGTTGGACGCGCGATTTCAGCTCGTCGAGCAAACAATCCAGTTGGCCGTGCCGCGTCTTCTCCAGAGTGTTCAGGAGACTCTGGTTGTCGATGAGCCGCTGCTGTACTTCGCTGTAGCTCAGTGCCAGTAGGCGCTGGTGCGATGCCGCTTGCAAGCCTTGATGGTCACCTGAAAGTGTGTTATAAGGAACGGAGGGCGGCTTTTATCGTTTTGGATGGGCCAAAGGTTTTTTTTGGTTCACTCGCAGTGACTATAGGATGAATTCCGAATTTTATAACTTTTCTAAAAAAACCAAAAAATAAGATTGTCGGCGAATGTTTCCATGCAGCTGAAAAAAGGTCCTCCGTAACTGAGATCCATTAACCGGTAATAATAATAATTATCCATAATCAGCGCATATTTCCACCGAGAACATGCAAAAGTACGGGGTCCCAATATAACTATTTTCGATGGGTGCAGGTATAACATCGAGTGTACATAGCGAGCAGTACAACCCCTCGAACATCCACCAACGTGAGATCATCAGCCTAAATCCACGCAAAGACGACACCAACACTACCATACTCGTGAACCATCCCTCGAATAGTTACCCCCGCAATGCACGCCCATCAGAGACACATCTCTCGCGCGCACACACAGAGAGAGACACCCGTGGAAGGTATATAATTGAACGGAGGCAAAGACCCACTCACCTTTGTGGAGTCCCGCGTGCTTGCCGAGGCCCTCGATCTTGTGCAGGGCGAGCTTGTAAGCGTCGGCGCGCACCTCGAGCTCCTCCTTGAGGGCCTGTCTGAGGGGTACGAGGTTGGTCCCAAAGTCACCATCGGCGCTGCCCACCGAGTCCCTGGCCGTTAAGCTGCCCCGTGATTTCGACGTGGCGACAAGCCCGTGCTTCCCCAGGCCCTCGACCGTGCGCTCCAGGGTCCGGCGTCGCGAGGCCAGGGCTGCTCGAGCGCTCGGGGCTGCTCTGTAATTCGAACGCCTTTCATATAGCACCGCGTCAGACTCGCTTGGAGCGTATTTTTTTCTGCAAGTGGAATTGAGTAATGATGCGAGTTTGAAATTTCAAGAAAAGTTAATCGAAACTTTGTGGGAAGGTCTGAAGAGCCGAAGTCCGTCTGACCAAATCAGCGTTTCTTTCATTTGGTTTTAAAAACAAACAAACAAAATTTATTTCAGAAAAAAAAATAACAATTCGTGGAAAAATAATTATAAGCTTTGTACAATTGTTAACTGAATCATAAATAAGGGTAACGGTAAAAAAAAAAAAAAATAGAGGAAGCGCTAGTCGTTGGGAGTAAGTCCACGAAAAATTACTAGCCAACCCTAGCTGGTCGTTAGTTGTTATTCAACAGCCTTTTGCACGGACTGTTTTCAATAAAATAAAAAAAAATCTCTTAAAATCTTCAAACTCAAGTGAGTATCATGCTTTTGATGTAGGAAAATTAATTTACTTGCATTGGTAAACTTTTGCATATTGAGGAGAGTACAACAGGGTGAAACTGGGGTCAGGTGAACGGAATGAAGGACGTTTATGTTGAAAAATGTCATGTGAAAGTAAAACGTAAGTTATGCAGCAACATTACAAGCTCAGATTTTAGATCGCAAGACACCGTGTCCCAAAATGGCAAAAAAGTATTTAAACGGCACCTAAAAAAAACGTTTGTCCCCAAATCTAATGATCGCGGGATGAAAAAAAAAAAAAATGTTTCAATTACACGGACTTCACTTCGTGTTATTCGTTGTAAAAGGCATGTGGCAAATCGAGTACCAAGCATTCCCATTGTGCGACGTTTCACTTAAAAAACCTAACAATATTATTAAGCAGAATCTTCCATCAATGCACATGCAAGTCGCAACAAAAAAAAAAAAAATAAATAAAATAAAGCACCGCTCCACCACCACACGGGCCATCGCAAACAGAAAGCCCTCCGTGCCCCTCCCTCGGTATTCAATCACCCCCTGTACTCGGCAGCATGTCGCCACTACCCCCGCCCCTCCTCCTCGAAGACATTAGGAGCTCGAGCAATATCCCACCGAGGCAATTTGCAGCCCCGAGCGTGTCAAACGAACCCCTGCACCAGCGCGTGTGTGCGTGTACCTGTTGAGAGCCGACAACAGCCGCGCCCACGCCCTCAGCTGGAAGTGATGGTCCGGTTGTGGATTGGCGAGTATACCGACGACCTTCCACAGGAGGAGCTCGAGCCTGAGGACCTTGGTATCGCGCACCCCGAGCTCGATGAGCCGCGCGTACAGGGCCTCGAGCAGCGCCAAGCTGTGGGGCAGGGTGTCGATCAACAGGTCGATCGGTATGTCCGGCAGAGCGGCTCGAAGCGTGTAATGCGGCAGCCGCATCAGGAAACTCGCCGCCTCGCGGTACTGTCGGCCTTCGTACAGCCGGACCAATCTGCGGACCATTTTTTCGTTTACTCGTTCGTCAACTGGCTCGTGTACAATCGACACTGGATTTTCATGGCGAATCGACAAAATTTCAGCTGTAATCTATCGAGTTGAAAAATGTTTGGTCGCTAAGGCGTTAAAAATATGGATGATCATTTATTATCAAGGAGAGCGACTTATATTTGGAATAAAGTTTTGTTGGGAAATTGATGCCTTAGCAGTACATGGTCCAGTCGTGGTTGAAACATCTAATCAATTCGAGTCAAGTCGAAACAATCAGCGCATGTGATATTTGTACCTTCTGATGGCCATTCGAGGGTTGGATCCGTCGTCGTCGCAAACGGCAACGAAACCGCCCCGGTACTGTGACCCTGGCACCCAAACGAGTCGCTGGATGGCGTTGCGGGGCCTCTCGGGCCTGATTCGCTCGCACGAATTCAGGCCCACGAGAGGCGCGGTCCTCCTGCTCATTTTTACCCCGCTTTTTATCACTCTCTCGTCGTGGGATGTGCAGCTTCTTCTTGTTGTCGCTGGTGGGAACCTGAAATTTTTCAAATAAAGAGAGTATGTTGATTATTAATAACTACTTTTGGAAGTACAAATGGCACAAATTTTTTTTTTTTTTTTTTATTAAGCTTAGTTTAATTTTTTAAAAGTGTCTTGTAATTTCGACAAGCAATACATATATATATATACGCGATGAAAAATTATGCCCAACGAAAAATTCCTGTATATGTGTATGCACATTGTGAACATTTTCCAATTCAATAAAAGTTGTTGTCATCTGCAGCTGAGCTCAAACGGGACGTTAAACTTTACATTCAACATCAAACTTGATACTTTGCATTTGAGCAAGTTTCATCCAAGAGAAAAAATTTACAACATTTATACACTATATTGTACAGTGCTCTAATCTAGAAAGGTCTATTTTGGTTTCAGTACACCTGTACAAAAAAAATATAAAAATATGTTTTTGTCTACTACAGAAGTAAAACGAAATTTTGACAGAAAGTGGTAAACAAAAAAATTATACGGCTTACTAAAATGAAAAAAAAACCTATTGCGCAAAGTAAGGTTTAATACAAAAAATATCGTTTCAAGATAATCGTTTGACAAGATCTAAATTATTTAATTGCCATTTTAGATTAAAACGTTGCGTACAAAAGTAATTCTTCAAAAACCGTTTTTTTTTACGCAGAATTTTTCTGTAGAATGTTACTTATCATCTCGTAAAACAAAAAATCGCGTTCATTCCACCCAATCAACAAATACCTCGTCGATTGAAGGATCATTAAGATGCAGTTATCAATAGCTAAAACTGTGAGAAAATTTCACAGTAAATCTTACGACCCATCATTCATTCTAATACCATAATTTAATTGGAAGTTTGTGAACATTAAAAAATTTTAGCAAACGAGTAACACAAAATAATAAGAAAACACAGTTAACGTTTGGTCGAAACGGGCACCTGATATATCAGTACCTATAACACACTCTAGCAAAGACATCTTATTTAATCACGTCTGTTAATTTAACCAAAGCTCAAAAAGGATTTTCTAACGCAAAAAGTCCTCGCACTTATCTCCATGCCCTCGTAAACACGTTGTAAGAGTATAAGCACGAGATCAAGAAATAAAATAAAATTAACGACGAAAAAAAAAAAAAAAAATGCGAGAGCGCTAGAACGGCTGGCAGTGCAATAGTCTTTTTTGCATCTCTCTCTCGACGCGGCCTACTCCTCCGGGGCATCGGCCCACTTAAGACTCGTACGTACAGGTATACCAACCAAGTTTTTTTTCATCTCGCTTTCTCTCCCCTTTCTTCGTCCTCTCTACACTGTTTTTTTCACTCCCACCTCTTTCTTTCGCCTTTAAACACTCTCTGGCAACGCTCGATCGTAAATTCGTTCGCACGTGTGGTGCACCGACTGCACACGTGGATACGACATACTCAATGCCTTTTCTACAATTATAATCTCTCGATCGATTGATGCGTGTTTCATTTTTGGCATGTGAGCCTACCGATTTAATTGCCAAACTTTTTTGTTCACGTGGGTATTCAACACCTCAATTCTCAATAGAAATTAATGTCAAGGGTTATTAGCGATAGTTAGGTACATTGTTTTTTAGTTTTTTTTTTTTTTTTTTTTTTTTTTTTCAATTGCCCTTTACCATATCCTTGGAGTTGTTTATTTTCCTTTGACAAAGTAAGTTTAATTGTAAAGCGATTATTTGAACGTCAAACGATTTATCGAGTGTGTTGTAGTAACGAGATTGTTAATTTGGTACTTTTCATTCATCTTTTTAAACAAGAGGACGTACAAAAAAATTTGTTTTTGCACGGCTCATATATAGTATGGAGTTGAGATTTTAATACAATATCTCAAGAAATATCCGGTACTATTTTTTTGTGTATCAAAGATCTGTTTTTATCAGGAGACTCTTTGCCTCTTTACGATCACTCCAGCTGGAGCTGAAGAATATTTTTTGATATGCATCTTGGACCCCTTTGGTATTTTAATATTTAAATTACTCATTAGTTTCTGATCAATTTCTTTTTTTTTGTTTTTTGTTTTTTTTATTGTACCATGTTCATTCACTCTCCTCTAATGTATACAATCTCTATTTTGCATCACTACGTGCATTACACGGATTCATTTTAAAAAATTGAACATCCAATCAATAATGTAAAATACTCTTGAAACGTAAAAGCATCAAAGAGCTTTTTCCCCCTCCCTCTCGGAAGCTTAGAGAGATTCCCATTCGCGCTGATCGATAATACACGCTGTAAACGCCGGTAATGAATCACGCCGAACATGAAAAATACGAGTGTTACCCCATCAGGAGGGGAATGAAAAATCCGAACCGTGTGGAGCTTCTGAAAGAAAAACAAAACTCCGTTCCAAGATGGTGGTGTACACAACCGTAATTGAGATTCTCCCGGAAGGAAGCAAAGATTTCCGCGGGACCAAAAACACGCGCCGTACTCTATCATTTAAATTACTCGTCTCCTCTCGAGCGCGGAATCGGAATTTCCAACACCACATGTTTCCATACACATTCGACTCATTGTTCGCGATAAGATTGGAGAAAAAAAACAAAATACATCAAACTCATCAACGTTATCCGCTTCATCTTGCGTGTATCCGATAAAAAAAAGCCTTCCTCCTTCATCGAACATCGCAACGTTCCGAGCATCGACTTTTCTCTTCTGTTATATATGTACGATCGTTAGCATAAATCGAAATAATACGCCGCTACACTGCACCTGATGCGTAAGAAAAAAAAAAAAAAAAAAAAAAACAGGGAAGAGAAACGGAGAGAGCGTTTGGGTGGGCCCTCCCTCGCTCTCTCTTTGTACCATCACTCTTTTCCAAATGCTATCTCGAATCAGCGATAAGGACGCCTTTCCTTCCCTCCTTTTCTTCCATCATCGCTCTTCTTCAGTCGCATGTTTTGTGTGTGTGCATAGGCACGTTCTGTACATCTCCCGACTCGCCGCTTTACTGGTAAGTGGTAGTCGTGGATTCATAGTTTTAGTCCCAATAACGTAAAACTTGAAGAAAATGTCGGTTGGACCACTTTTTAAGCAAAAATTGTCTGGATGTAGCTGCTGATTTTTCTATCTTTGTTTTGGTTTCAACATTGGCGAGGAGAACTGACCTCTGTGCCTTTTTTATTCTTTATTATATACTCTAGTCTCAGCACCGAGTTCTTCAACTCTTTTTCTATGTTGGTATTTGCTTATTATTTATTTATTAATTTTTTTTTTTTTTACACTTTAACATGTACGAGAATATTATGAAGCACAGTCATATTCATTTGATGAAATACTTGTTGTACGATACAATAATAAAACACGTTATATGATGCACATAAAAAATGTTTCTTGATTGTTGTATTGATTTATATAAAGTCGTTTTGCGTTTTGTAAATACTGAATAATAAGTATCACTTTAAGATATGTGGTGAGTCTCCTTAAGTGGAGTTTCCGATGTTGGGTAATTAATGAAATCGACTTTCTAGCTGTACATGTTGGTTTTCCTCAAGTTTATGCATTTTACATCTCAATAGGCATTAGAAAGTGACAGGATAACCGACTCTTACGCGTATATTTCTGCAAACACGAGAAGCGCAGTACTTAATTAAAAACTTTATCTATTTCTCTGGTGTACCAATAAACCTCAATAAGTGACCTTACATACAGCGTTTTGCTTGCTCCGCAGTTACTTTTTTATGCCTCGCTATAAAATTTTCGACTATGAGTAAGCGCTACGACATAGCTTTTGAAGGTGAAAGAATATATTTATGGAAACAATATCAAATGGCCACAGCACGAGACAAGACATTCGAGGGGACACGGTTTGGTTGAATTCTTCGTGCATGTGTCATTCTTGTCTTGCCTCCTTTTTTTCATCCCCCTCATATTTTTTGGTGAATGATTCAAAAATATCTATGCAACCACAACATTATTGATAGCATGGCTAATTACAATGTTGTGGAAGATAATTTCTAATAATTTTATGGAATAAGCCGTAGAGACGTCAATAGATTTCAATGAAACAGTAAAATATGTAGTATTTAATATGTTTGTGTGGAATTCTTTCCTTAAACAATCGAAAAAGCAAATTTTTGTAATTTTTATTGAGACTAATATTGATGATGCTCAAAATGTCAATGCTTTCTGGTAACCAAATTGGTGATGAAATAAAAAAAAAATAAATAAAAGAGATGGGCTACGCGAAAGCGTTTGCAGCATCTTCTGATAAAGACATATTGCTTTCACGAAAATATCACAGTGATGACGTAACCCAACTATGGCAAGAATAACGAAAAAATGTACAGTGCCATGTCAATCACTCTTTTCCTGAATGAGAATGTATCCTTGTTTTCTTGATAGCTTTGCTGGGGCTTCTTTGCACGTACGAGCATTTTTTATACGCGCGTATATTCTGGACATATGAGCACGGAAATGTGACTTGCAAGGAGACTTGCTGCCATAATCCATCAGCGGAACGTCATATAGTTGAACGATTACTTTCTCATGCAGACATCAGAAAGGGTGACACGTGATGGATCATCATTTAAGGCACTATTTATTCAGAGTTTTACTTTTTACGAAACCGAGGATGACAAGTTTATTGAAAAGTAATGTTCGAAAATAATAACAATAATAATAATAATAATGTAATTGTCATTTTAATAAATTATAAAGAATAAATAAGCTTACATGTTTTTTATGATTAAAACAAAACTTTTTGAAACCGCATAGAAAGCTAAAGCTGATATATATATGTGATACTTGAAGATAAAGTTGGCGATCAAAGTGGTTTTCGTCAAATTTTGTTGAGGTATTTGGACCAATTACTTATCTCATTGTCTACATGATTTGTAAAAATTACAAAACGATTGTCCATATAGTTTTTAAAGTGTGAGCGTTAAAAATACAAGTGTCAAACGTTTTACTTTTCG